ACTTGGCTGACTTGAACTTAAACAATTACAAAAACAAAATGGCAACAAAAGTGACAACATTAAATCTTTAAATCATCAACAATGGTCTACCTTTTGGTTTTTTATGGGCTTCGTCTTCATTCATTTTATAAAAGGACTTGATATATGTGGGATTCTTCTTTTTTCAACAGTGGCAGCAGCTTTGATAATTGATGTAATATCACTAGTTACCACTCATGTTTGGACTCTTCACATGTTTCTTTCACTTGTCTATTCACAGCAGATACAGGCGATAGCAGCTTTGTGGCGCCTTTTCAGGTAAAATCCATCTAATTCTAATTGACAATCTTCATTCATGTGTTGATAATAAATTGTTTAGCTTAAAGATGTTGAAGTTTTTCGTTTTTTATTATATTGCCATTGTGGTTAAGGCTGCATCCAGGTTTATAGCAATTTTGAATGTTGAGGCAAATTCTAAAACTTGTGAGCAAAATGGCATCTGAAAAATTGTATTCCATTGAATCTTGTCTTGATAACGACCATTGTTTTTGTCCTATTGTAAAAGCAGTTTAAGTTAATGAAAGGATTTTGGGTAGTGTCTGGCCCCAAAAATTTGTTCAGTAATTCTTTCAAGAGTATAAAAGATTAAGATATTTGGTTAAACGGAAGATAATATGGTGGAAAAGTCTCACAAGTTGATCATCATCGAGAAAATTATTTGGAGCATGAAGAATGATTTGTAGAGCCTTAATCTTAAGTTTTATGAAAAATTGCTCCTACAATGAGACAAATGTCTAAAAAATCGTCGCCCACTTTTTCTCCCCATGATCTATAAACTTTGTTAGCCCTAAAAATATATGAACTAGAAAGGAGCTTGGCTTACAGGTAGTTACTTGTGAAGGCTTCACTACAAGGAAACCAAAAGAAAAGGAAGAAGTCTATGTTTTGAGATACTAGGTTTGGGCATGATATCTGCAATATCCTCCTGGATTTTGCTCAAGGGTTTTGATATCATGAAGAAGGATATCAAAGGATACCAGAAGAATAACTCTGTGTTTCTGATCACGTTCTAAAAGAGAATAAGAGCATTGTTTAACATGTTCAGTTCATATCTGGAGAGCATACTGAATCACTGATATATCAATTAATTCAATCGCTTTATCTATATTGGGTTTTATTTATTATAAACTTTTGCTTGCGCTATTAGTGCAGATATTCATGACTGCTTGAGAATTTCTCAATTTGAGTTGACCTTGAATATCTATATAACTTGGAGATATTATGATTTTCTGATGGTTTCATCCACTCATAGCATCACTAAATTTATTGCAGGGGCAAGAAATGGAATTCATTACGTCAGAGATTAGATAGCTATGACTACAGTGTGGAGCAACATGTAGTTGGCTCTCTTCTGTTTACCCTACTTCTACTTCTACTACCAACCACATCTGCATTTTATATTTTCTTCACCATTTTGAAAACAGCCGTGAGCTTTATCTGCATGGTTGTTGAGGTTGCTATATCTTTAATTCACGCCACTCCGTATGCCAATGTATTTCTTTGGTCAGTCAGGAAGAAAAGATTTCCATCTGGGATTTGGTTTGAAATTTTATCTTGTGAACAAACTGCCATTAATTACTCAGAGATCAGATCTCCGGCAAGAACTAGTTCACCCAGTGGGAAGTTGCAAAAAACAACTGATACTAGTGGCAGTAAATCCAGTGTCTTGGTTTCATTTCTTCACAGCAACTATTTGACCTTGGGTAAGGCCTTGAGCTGTATTTATGAATATTCTTT